GAAATACGTATGCCTCTTCTCTAGCATACCCCCACATCTCTCAGAATAAAGTAAGCAGCCCCCATGCCCATTAAACCATGCGTACATGCCTCCAGAAGAAATTCCTGTTATGTGGACAGAACTGCTCAGTAGTTCATGTCTCAGCCCTCTCTTTCAGAGCCCTGCTGCATTTCTGCATCCCAACAATAAACATGCTGCTGCTGGAATACCCCTTTCTATGCCTCTTGCTGAGCGTCTTTAAATGGTATCAGATCGCTTCTGCAGCTTAGACAGCTCTTTGCAATCAGTCGCTGCTGATCCTCTGCCCTTTCCCCCTTCCCAAACCCCTAAATAACTGCATCTGCTCCAGCCTAATCCATGTCAGCGTTCCCCTCTTCTTGTATGCAACTTTATGCAAACAAACTTTCTAAATGAAAAGACAGCTTACCTGGGCAATGCTCAGAGTATAAAGTAATAACAACTGATAAAGGCAGACATCCCAACTCCAGTACAGGGATTTGATTGCAAATTTCCATTGCAAAGGAGTAGAGGGAACTGGAAATCTGACAAATGCCTTCAAATTGACCTGTGTTTTCACAATGCACGCTGTGTTTAAAATGAATGGCAGACTTTATCATTTGGAGCTCCTTCAAGAACTCTGGCCTTCTACGCTTTGTTCTGATTCTTCAGACACATTTCCAAGAAGCACAAAGCTACATAAGTGGATGAAATTATGGAGATCTTTTTCTAAGCAGGATTTCTCCCCCCTTCCCCCAATAATTTTTAAAGCCTGAATTTAACAAGCTAGCCTGGAATATCTTTCTTATTCTATCCATCTATTAGTCCCTCATGTCCAGACGGCGTCTTCAAAGCATCAGCGTGCTCCACACAGCACTAGGCGGAGGGAGGCAGCGTGCAGCCGCCTCATGCTGAGCAACAGGACATGGTTGTGGTCCCTAAAAATTCACTGTAGTCAACTGCTTCCACCACAGCCCCAGGCAGATCTGGCCCAGGACAGAGCTGCTCCAAAGCCACTCGACAGCCAAGTCCTATTTCTAAGGGAAGACTCACTCTCTGAAGTCGCTGAAAACTGAAGCCGCTTTACCCATTTTATATATCCAAGATAACAACCATCTTTTCTGAAAGTTATGTCCGGAAAGCCATACACACTGCCTCAGAAAAACCTTTTGCTTCGAAGTTGTTCCTCCAATCTGTATACATTTTTGCAAATAACAACTTTCCTTTAAAGCGCTGGTATTAGCTCCATCTGTTCAAAATAACAGAACTGGAACTACACAATTCTACATTCAAATAGATCAGATATGATGGCAGACAAAAAATTAGAGTTAACCTAGTAATTCAACTGTGTTTTTAACAAGTTTCCTATGGAAAAAATCATTCTTCCCCACAAATCTGATACTGAGAGCTTCATTCTACTAAGCATATTAAAGGTTATTTGGACCAAAAAATCCTGTCTATGCATGTGTAAAGAAACAAACACAGTATCAAGAGGTATCTGTAGTACTACAGATGAGGTTTTATCAAGATTTCTAACTAAAGCAAGGGTAGTCCTTTCTTATATTTTAGCAACTGTCTTTTTTAGTGATTTTTTTTTTTTTTGCCTAGAACAAAGAAACCTTAAGGGAAGTAAATTTTCAAGAGGAGAAATGCATGCACGTATGTGTAATCATACTTAACGATTCCTGTACAAATTATTCCTCAGTTCTTTATTTTTGTACTTGTGCAGTGGTTTATCTGGCTGGTCCTGCAGCCATCATTCGTTCAGTCCCTTCTTTTCACACACAGACACACCTCATCACCTTTTTCTGCCCCTTCAGTAGAACTGGGAGCTCTTCTATCCCCCAGGCTCTGGATGGCCATGTCCATAACATGGGGCAAGCCTCTGCCATGGCTCCAGGTGACCATTCCCCTCCCCAGCCTCATCTTCTGTCCTCGCCAGGAGGGGAAGGAAGATGTCCAAGGACTTGACCCCACCACAGAGCCTGCACGGGCTGGACCCAGCTCCCAGGAGGGTGGGGGGCCACAGAGTGTGCTCCCCACTCAACCCTTGCAGCCCTCGGCACCTCTGACCCTGGCGCCTGCTGCCCTCCTCCCTTTCGAGGCACTTGGGATCACCTCGGGAGCATGAACGTACAAGAACGCAGGAGCAGTGAGAAGCTGTCGCAGGAGGGCACAGCGCAGCATGGCCGGAGGAGCAGCAGAGCCGCTGAACAGGGGGATGTTTGGTTTGTGTTAACTACTCAGACAGATGCACTCCGGCATGTTTGCATTTATGGGATCCATATGTTGTCATGGGAAATTAGAGGACAGCAACACAAATCTAGAATTCGCGATGCAAATGCAAAGAAAATGTACATGGCTACCAGACAGCGTTTGAACATGTTCTTGTGAAGGTGACTATTTCTGGAGCATTAACAGTTACTAGATTTACTTGCCACCTTCTCCACATATTTACTTTTTCTTTGCTCTGCAAAAAGTGTGTACACAGGCAGCACTCATTCCCAGCCGGGTCCATGAGATCTACAGCCTCTGCTGAAAACACGCGCTCCTTCTAAGTTACACCAAGTACCAAAAGACAAGGATTACTTTATTCTCACCTCAACTTCATCATCCGAACATGTTTGTTTCATATGCAGCACAAACAACAGTTCCAAATTACATGCACCTTTACAGACAGCGCACCAAGCAGCCCTGAAAAATCTAACCTGCCCAAGGCTTGTTGGTTTGGATTTGGGCTTTCCCCACCATCCCCCCCCCCCCCCTTTTTTTTTTTTTTACTTTTTGTTTTTCTTGGGGGAGGTGGGGTGGGGTGGTGGTGGTGGTTTTGTTTGGGTTTTTTTTTCTCCTTTTTCCTTTTTTCTTATTTTTTGGAAGGGCAAGTAACAATTATTCTTCTATGAAGCTAGACAAATGTATTTTTACACATTTTGAAGGGCAGCTTTTAAAGGCAAACTGGTAACATACTGGAGTCTATGCATTTAGCAACCCACCAGAACCCACGCATAGCATGCCCATCTCAACAGTACATCTCAGTGCTGCATTTATAAAACTCATAGAACTATGGTACGTATTAAAACTCAAGTCTAAAAACCTGTGAATACCTTTTCCAAATGTAAGGCACTTACAGTGCTGTACCAACAAGTACAGCCCTTATTCAATTTCTGATCATCTCCCCCTTCTTTCAATCCCCCATCCCACTGAAAGGGACTTGTCAAAATTTCAAAGGACTATCCCCCACCGTAAAAACCTGGAAAGCTGGATACATTTCATCACAAATACTTATTAACAAACATGCAGTTTATTACCTTTCAGTATAAAATACATCTATATTAAGGTTCTCCCAAATGGAAAAACTGACCGCAACTGCATTCCTTGTTCAGTGCTATGAAACAAACCGGGAAGTTAATTACTTGGGTTACTAAGAAAAATAAAAATTAAAACGGAAAAAAAAAAAGGCAAAAAAAAAAAAAAAAGCAGCAATTTGCAAAGCTTCTTTAGATTTTCAAGAGAGATAAGTTAATTCAGCTTCATTTCTGCCAGTAGCAAGAGTCTCTTACAGTAAGATGAAGAAAACATATTCTTGAAGCCTGGAGAGAGGTTCTTTACTGGTCCTCCTAAAATTCAAATCCCACATTCCCAACGATCATCTACATTTTTTCGCTAGGGCTGGAATGGGGAGGGAAGAGCTGCTGGAAATAAAAATTTTAAATAATAATCTCAGATGGACCCGAGCAGAAAGTGAAAAATGTTACCGCAAGGCTACAGAAATATTTATTTAATCAAACCATAAGTTCTGTTGGGACTGGAGGAATGTTGCATCCTTTCCTAAAAAAAGAAAAAAAAGGGGAAAAAAAAAAGGGGGGGGGGGGGGGGGGGGGGAGAGAAAGAAGAAAAGAGAAAGCAAGAAAGAAAAAAGGCAGAGGCACAGCCGCCTCCTGGAGTTCCCCATTGTCCGGGGCTATAGAGAGCCCCGGAATGGCATTAAACTCACAAAAGGCACATTGTGCGGGGGACAAAAAAAGCCCCTTCTTCTACAATAACTTTTAGCTTCTTATTTTTAGAAAATGACAAAGCTGTTGCCAGCGATGGCTGGTGAAACCTGTAGCCCGGCTCCCAGCGAGGCCGGGTGCGGCCGCATCGATCCGCTGTCCCACTTCGGAGCGGCGGCCGCAAAGTTTGAGCGGGCGCTGGCCAGACGCCGCGGGGATGGGCGCTGCGGGGCCGCTCCGCCAAGCTCCGCGCCCGCGGCCCGCCCCGCTCAGGGGACCGGGGCGGCACAAAGTTGCGCTTCGCTGCCGGCGCAACTTTCCCGGCTCCTCCCGGGCAAACTTCGGCGGCGAGGCTCGGCCCGGCCCGGCGCGGCTCCGCCCGGGGCACGGGGGGCAGGTGGCCCAGCGGAGCGCCCCGCTGCCGCGGAGCTGTGCGGAGAAGAGCGGAGCCGCCGGGCGGCCCGCGCGCCCCCTCCCCGACGCAGGGCTGCGCGGCTGGGCGCGGAGCTGCCCCCCCCGCCGCGGGCTGGGGGCCGGCCGCTTGCCCCAAGTTTCGGTGCGGCGCCGCCGCCGCGCTCCCCCCGCCCGCTCCTGCTCGCTCGCTCCCTCCCCCGCCGCCTGGGCTGAATCTTATTGATCCAGAAGGTGGCTAATTAGCCCTTCCCGTCGTGCCTGGGTAATGAGGCACATGCGCACTGCACTAATCAGCCATTTTTTGCAGGAAACTAATTAGCAGAATAAAGATCCAAAGAGTTTTTTTTTCTTCCCAATCATCAGATCTGAGTCCGGGCGCTTCCTGCTCCGGCGACCGCCAGCCCCGCCGCCCGCTCCGCTCCGCGCCGCTCCGCCCCGACCCGACCCGACCGCCGCCGCCGCTGCTGCTGCTGCCGCCGCCCGCGGCCCCCTCTCTCCGGGGGGCTGCAAACTCCCCGACAACGATGCTGCTGCTGGGCAGCGGCGGCGGCGGCGGCGGCTCCCGCTCGGCTCCGGCTGCTGCCCACGGCTTCTGCTGCTACTGCCCCGGGCCCCTCCGCGGAGTGCGCTCCTGCCGCCGCAGCCGCCGCAGCCTGCATGGGATCTGTAGCCCCCGCGCCGCCGCCCGGGATTAAAAGCGCCGCCGCCGCCGGAGCAGCGACCGCGTAAGTGGCAACTTTTCTGCCCTGTCCCCCGCTCGGGCTCCTCCTGCTCGGGGCGCCCGGGCTGCTTTGCATGGGGCTGGTCCGGCCCCCCCTCCCGCCCGCTCCCACCCACCGCCCCGGATCCCCCAGCAAACTTTGTGCCGCTCGCCGTCCCGGAGCCCCGCCGTCGCCGCCGGGGACGCGCAGGTGCCGGCGCCGCGGGGGCCGTTGCGCGTACGCGGAGCCCCCGCCCCGCCCGCCGGGCCATGGCCGCGGGGCGCGGAGAGGCTCGGCGCTGCACCGCTTTGTGCGCGGCGGGGCGCGGGCGGCGGGGGTCCGGCGCCCCCCGGGACCCCGTGGGGAGAGAGAGGCCGTTCGGGCGGACCCCGCGGCCGCGCAGCGCCGGGGACGCGCTGGAAAACAAAGGGGCGAAGAAGTGCCCGAAACTGCCCCGGCGCCGGCGGCCCGGCCCGGCCCTCCACCCGCCTCCGCCCGGCCGGGCGCCGCGCCCGAGCGGCCCCGGAGCGGCCTGGCGAGCCCGAGTAATTCCGATTTTTGTTTTCCGCGGGCAGGCTCGGTTTTGGGAAGAATGCGGCTAGGGGGATGGGGAGGTGAAGCAGCGAACGGCGCTGTAGGCCGATCCCCCTTCTCAGTTTCAGTTTTTAATTACTTAATGCCGAATCGTACGGCGCTTATCTAAATATTTGCAAATGCTCTTTCCTATTGATTTCTCTGAATAAACTGTGCTCCTCGCCCGCGGAGGGAAGGCGGCTCCTGAGCCAGCCCTCCCGAGCGGAGCCGGGGTGCGCGGAGCCGCGGCCGCTGCCGTGGGGCTCTGTGTGCACGCGTGTGGCACGCACCCGCGGGCTTCACTGCGATATTTATCATTTAGGTTACGTTTGTTTTGCTTTTGTTGTGTTTTCTTAATTACTATTATTTATTAGCATTATTTTTAATTTAAATTGCTAAACTTTCCTTTGCCCACCCCCCTTTTTTTTTTTTCTAAAATAGAAATATTTCTTTTGCTCTGAGAAAGGGCTGTTTCTCTTTCAAGCTGGGCTTGAAGCTGCTCGTGGGTTTGTCCTGTACTTTGTGAAGATATGGAATACAGCTGCATCCCTTCCTCGGCCCTCTGTCTGTCTTTCTCCACTTCTCGCTCCTGTTTAATATGGAGCAATTTTCTGGAGGCTCGGTGACTCCCTCCTTAGGGTCACATTGAGTTCGAATCCCACTGAAGGTGCAGGGATCCTGCGATGGGGGAAATAAGAGAATAGTGAGGACGGGGTCAAGTTGTCTGCTCAGAGGCCAAAACTCCCACAGCTGCCTTTAAAAATACATATATAATATTTGGCTTTCCCCACTGTATTACAGACTGCAGCCTCCCCTTTCAGGTATTTTCTTTACAGCTTAAAGACCTCTCTTCCTTTGCCTCCCCCACAGCTCCCTCCTGCCCCCCCCCCCCCCCATTAGGGGAGAAAAGGTGGGGGGAAGGAAGGAAAATGAAAAGAAATGGGGGGGGGGGGGGGGGAAGGGGAAAAAATAAAACCCATTGAGTTTAGGCAAATAAGGTTTGGTCTCCGTATCCTATTACAAAGCACTTTGAATATGCAAGACATCACACAAGACCAGTTATTCCAGTTACGACAAACTTAAAAAAGAGAAAAAAAAGAGAGGCATGTTTAGATTGTAATTTGTTAGAGCGAGAATTGTATTTAAAACTCTGTCATTTAATTTTTTTTTTCCCAGTTTTGCATTGTATCCAGCCTTTTTCTGATGTCTAGGGCTGGGTTTGGTTTTTTTTCATTATTATTATTATTATTAAAATCTTTCCGTTGAGTTTAGGAAGACTGCTGCAAGCAACACATTTTCTGTATTTTTGTTCCTGTATCTTGGAGGAGAGTTGGCAGGGATTCTGTGGTTTGCAGTTACACAATATGTTATCATGTTTTTAATCACTAAATCATTGCAGTGGTTATAGATTTACAGTCTTAGGGTATTACTGTGAGCAGCAGTGCAGACTGTATGTACAGAACATACAAGAGCATGCAGTTAACATGTTCATGAACTTTGCTTTTAAACCGCTTCCCGGCCAAGCTCTGGTGGAGAGGAGAGCGAAGCTTTTGGCATCACCTCTCCACGCACTTGAGGAAAGTTTGCACGAGGCTCCCGGCCAGGCAGGAGCTCCGATGGGTGCTGCGTGCACCCCGTCCCACAGCGCTGGCGGTAAGCGGCGGGGCAGGGGTGCGAGGGTCTGCCGGGGGCCTGGGGGGGAGCAGGCACCCTGCCGACCGCCCGCTGTGCCCGCTTCCCCTTCAGTATGTAACAGAGCCCTCGGCAGCATTAAAAATTCAGCATTACAAGCTGATTGTAATGCTCCCTCATTAGGGAGCACTGTCTGGTCCGGCATTAAGCACAAGACGGAGCGTGGCTTTTCGGCTGCGGCACCGGCTGAGGCTTGGAGAGCAGCTGAGTGGAGGGTGGTCATGGAGCAGGGTGCTTCGGCTCTAGCAGCCACCCGTAGGGCTACACTGGGCTCCCCGCTGCCGTGCAGCACCAGGCCCAGGGCTCTTGCTCGCCCTCCCAGCTGAGGGCTTCTCCTGTGCAGGCTTCCTGAGCTGCCCTCCTGCCCGGGTCCTGCTCCGCAGGCCGACTTCGGTCAGAAACAAAAGCAAAGACAAGACATATTAAAGAGTAGAGGAACTCTGTGCCTAGACACAGAGGTTGCTTTGCTGCATTTGTTTTTTTTTTCCCATTCTTTCCTTTTCATTCATGGTCATTTTGGGAACAGTGGCCAGCGGGAAGCCCGCTGCAGCCCTTCTCCCGCACACCAGCGGTGCGGCTCACAGCAGCGCTGGCCTTCAGCTGTGGGAACCCGATGCCCTCCCTCCTATCTTGCTGCTGCCTTTTGTTCCCGCAGGACCGAGCCAAGGTGCTGCTCGGTGGCGGAGGCGGTGCGGGGCCTGGCACCTTCACCTGGCCTTGTCGTGGCTGCTGTCAAACCGTGGCCCGGCAGTGGCTGCTTTGACAAAGGCAAAGGCGCGTGTCCCTCTTTCATCCCTCTGCTCTGACCCCCCGCCCTGGTCTCGATGGTGTTGTGCCAGAGGCCAAGAGCAGCACTGAGGAGCAGATTTACTTTGGGCCTGGCTAGCAGTTGAACAGCTTCGGCGGGGATTGCTAAATCCCAACTCATGTACATATGGCTGGCTGTGGTAGCCTGCCTGTTAACGCTCCTGCTTTATAAAATACTAACAGTAGTGATGATACTAATAATAAAAATGTTGAATGGAGAAGCTGAAAAATGACTAGTTGGCTTTTACATCAACTTTATTCACACACTGTTCTGCTGGGGTTTGGACTCCCTTGCCTGAGCGTTTCCTCTGCCGGTGTTGGACTTGCTTATCTGCGGTGGGAGAGTTTTCAGCAACCATCTTCTCGTAGGTGCTAGTGCTGCTGGTGGTGCTGGAGCGAGAGGTGTGTTTGTGCTGGGGAGATGGTGTGGTTCAGGAGGAATGGGCTGGGAGGAGGCCAAGTGTTTCACAACTCTGTTTCCCTTCGCTAGAACGTGGCCGAGGTTTGACCTTTGCATGGCTTCAGAGCCGAGTCTGGCCACCGGAAGAGGTGAGACATAGACAAAGCTGGGTCTCGCCCGATTCTCCATTCTGGCCATGTGTGGGACCCAGTCACTGCTTATGGGGCTGTGGGCAATGACTGACTGCAGGGTTTCGGCCTGGGAGATCCCTTGGGCCTGGAGCAGGGTGACCATGGGGCTGCCCTCCTGCATTGCCTCTGTTTTCTTATGGTGGGGCGTTAGCGCACACCCTCTGGGAGCTCCTGGGGGAGGCCAGCAAGGGCAGACCAGAGGGAGGAACATCTCCCCTGTGGAGCGAGGCTGCCCTGCCTTCCTCACTCCTGCCCTTGACAGCCGACATTCGGGCTGAGCGTCCAGCGCATAGCAGCGCCGGGGCCGCTGAGGGCTGCTGTGGCAGGAGAGTGGGAATCAAAACATCTGTGCGCAGGCCTGGGCGCCGCAGCCTCTAATGGTTTTGACGGAGCTGTTGTGGTCTGTTGTCTGGAAAATCTGCATTCTGCGCCGTGCCCGAGGGGGGCCGCAGCACCGCAGACCGTGGCGGTACCTAAATATAACTGCCTCGCGCCATGAGGTGAGGTGAGGGCAGGAGGGAGCAGGGCCGCCCATCCCACCTCCTGCTTTGTTTCTCATCTGTGATTCATGCATTTGTGTTTGCTCCCGAGGTTGGGGTTGTTTGTAGGCAGGGACTGGAGAAATAGAGAAATAACCAGCTAGTTTTTAGAAAACCCAACAATCAAACAGGGTGGGTGAGTAGGGCTTCCCTTGCAGCTGGTGACCAGGAGGCAGTGGCTCTCGATGCCGGGTTCGGGATCCCACTGGACCTGGAAGTCCCTGTGTGTACCTGTGCTGCAGCTACCGGTGTGACAGTGGGCCACGCCACCCAACTTGTGTTGGTGATTCTCCTCCCCCTGGTAGATACTGCGGGCCTCGCTCGGGTCCTGCCGTGCTAGTGAAGGAGGAAGTGCTTTCCAGCGCTTCCTCGTCGGCTCAGCTGGACAGACATGTCCATCTGTCAGTGCAGGAGGTGGGTGATCTCCATGGCTGCAGAGTGGTGGCATCCATGTGTGGTGTGTGCTGTGTGTGTTTCCAGAGGCTGACTGTAAATACAGTTAAAGTTCGTCCCCATCCAAAGTTAATTCTTGGTTGGGGTTGTCAGAAGGGAGACATGTGCTGGTGGCTGTGCAGTCACCGCTGCGAGTGGCTCCCAGCACATCCCAGGAGGGGTCTGGAGCCTGGCTGTGTGGGGTGGAAGGGCGGTAGGACAGTCTGGGCTTCAGATGCCCCGCCATGGGTAGGCTGCAGCCACCCTGCTTTGTCCTTGAGTTTGCTGCTGAGAGAAAAACACTTAGCTGTTTATTGTAATTTCATTATGTCACTAGTGCCAAACATGACTCTTGCTAATAAAAGCAGAGCAGCAATGTGGGTTTTTCCT